CGAGTCAAGGATCTTCTTTTAAGAGTTTATAGAATCTCTAGTCTACTCTAATCATATTAAGGTAAATAACTATGACAACACGACACGAAGAGATGGTAGCCCGGGGTGCGATTGTTTAAGAAGAGGCTAGGACGTGATTTAGTTAACACGTCGTGGGACGTCAAATGAGAGATTTAGGCATATGGTGATCGCCAGTAAGAAAGAAAGGATGAAAGGAACGTGACCAACCCAAGTAGAATATCAAAGGCTCTCGAGACCAAGTATCTCATCGACATGGTGGATAGTAGTTTTTCAATTAGTTAACCAACTACTCGGACGTTAGCAAATAGATCATCATCATCAACCTAGAGAAGGAAGGAGGAACGTTGCAAAGGTCTGTGGAGGTAGAATCAAATGTACGACGACTTCAACTCCAAACACCAGCAAAGAGGTGCCAATTGAAAGGGAATACCTCAAGGAGTTTGAAGGAGTGGAGAGAGTAGTACGAGGATTTTACTACTAGGAAACAAGTGGATGATCTAATAAGCTAAGACAAATAAAGGGTAGAAATATGAATCTCCAAAGGAAGATGAACAATCACCAGATGCCAGTAGCTATGATAACGGGAGGATGTTGGGGCCTTTGGTCCTAAGCAGTGGCGAGGAAGCAACGAGCCAAGAAACGAAGAGGTACCACGAGAAGTCCCCCAACTGATTTTAGTCATAGATGGCTCGATGCTATTACCACATAGTGACAAGGAGTAGTGGAAAGTTTAGACTTTAAGAAAAGCTAGGGTAGTATAAATGAAGCAAAGGAGGAAATACGTAAGTTACAGGAAGTATGAAAGGATGTCAAGAAGTCAACAGGTCAAGGAGGAGAGGAGGCATGGTCATAATTATTAGAGTTTAATTTGGGCTGGGAAAATATTAGGTGTACAATTCGAAAGCTTGCATAATTATTAGATTTTAATTAGGGCTGGCAAAATAGACTAGACCGTTAGAAAAATCGTGGTCCAAACCGTACCGCACAGTTTGTTCTGGACCGTAGACCGTTAAGTATGGTCTGGTCTGGTCCATGGTCTGTACTATTTTATGTTTTGATCTCTTTGTCTGGTCTGGTCTAGACCGCGGTTTACCGAACCAAATCGTGGACCCAAATGACTTGTAAATACGTGTTAACAGCCCATTCGACCACTCTCCCAACTCTCACAACGACACCCAAGTCTCAACCTTAGTTTTGTGAATCTGGCCCCTCCTTAATTCACAACCACATTTAACTAGAGAGTAGAGATAATTGTGTCTCCATATTATTTACATTTCATAAATTAACTTACATAAGACATAGTTGAAAAGAATTTTCAATGAAGAAGAAAATATGTTCTTTATATAGAAAATGGTACCTGTTGGAGAATTTTCAATACTCCTATGGGTAATTCATTAAGTTTTCAATCTATAGGTTATCAAAATTTGTTAGCACTAGGTAGCTTACAGTGTTAGAGAGAAAAAATAAATCTAAAAAAATGATAATTACTAACGACATAAATTCTGCTTTGTGGAAATGATGTTTCATATTTCAAACATTTTACCATTAAAGATTGGCTTCCAATGAAATGTTTAAAAAGAAGGAAGAGCTATTGTGAAGATAAATGTTCAGCTGGATGAGATTAGAACAGTGGTGTTTAGCATGAACAGCCAAAAAGCACCAGGTCCAGATGGTTTTTCTGCTGGTTTCTTCAAAAGGACCTGGGGGATCATTGGTGAAGATATAATCAGGGGGATTCTGTTCTTCTTTCAGTCAGGTATTCTACCAAGTGGAGTAAACTCTACTGCTGTTTCTTTACTTCCCAAAATTCCAAATGCTGAGTCCCTAAAACACTTTAGAACTATTTCTTGTATAAATTCTTATACAAAATCATTGCTAAGATCCTAGCTAATAGAATCAAAGGGATAATGCCTTCAATAATCAGTGGTTCCCAGTCTGCCTTTATAAAAGGGAGAAGTATTATGGATAACATTTTGATGGCTCAAGAGTTGGTAAGTGGTTATAATAGGAAGTCTCTGTCCTCTAGATGTGCTATAAAAGTAGACATTATGAAAGCATTCGATTCAGTGAGTTGGAAGTATCTATTTCTCATGATGAATAGTATGGGATTTCCTGCTACATTCTTAAAATGGATTAAAAGCTTTCTCCAAACAGCTCACTATAGCATTAATGTGAATGGGAGCCTCTGTGGATTCTTTAGGGCCAGGAAGGGGGTGAGGCAGGGTGATCCATTATCACCCTACCTTTTCACCATTGCAATGGAGGGGTTGTCAACGTTATTATCTGAGGCAGGACAATCTGGAACTATTCCATATCATCCACAATGCAAGAGAGTGGCCTTAAACCATCTCTGTTTTGCTGATGATTTGCTTATTTTTACTAAGGGATCTGCTCAGGCCATTATGCAGGTGAAAGGGGTCCTTCAAAGGTTTTATCAGCTTTCAGGCCTTAACAGTAATCCTGCAAAGTGTGAAGTTTATTTTGGTGGGGATTCTATCACCTACAAGCAGAATGCATTGTCTCTTACAGGTTTTCAAGAAGGAACACTTCCAGTCCGTTATCTGGGGTTACCACTGCTGTCTGGTAAATTTTCTTCTGTTGAGATTGATACTTTGGTGGAGAAAATTACAAAACGCATCAGGTCTTGGAGAGCCAAGAAGCTCACTTACGCAGGGAGATTGCAGCTGATAAATTCAGTCATTCTTGGGATGGTGCAATTCTGGATGCAGATGTTTGTCCTCCCAAAGAAAGCTCTTAAGAGAATACAAAAAATTTGCTCTCAATTCCTCTGGCATGGACATGATGAGGGTAAAGCTAAGGTGAGTTGGGACTATGTTGCACTGCCTAAACGTGAAGGAGGGCTTGGGGTAAAGGATCTTCTTGCCTGGAATCAAGCTTGTACAGGTAGAATGATTTGGTTGTTTTTAATGAACTCAGGGGCTATATGGGTGGCATGGATAAAAGAGTACAAGTGCAGGGACTGTAATTTCTGGACATTAAGGGTGCAGTATAGTAGTTCCTGGGCATTCAGGAAGATACTTAAGCTGAGGGCAATTGTTCTCCCATGGATACAGGTGCAGAATGATAAAGTTTACTGGGATTCAAAAGAGATGATCACTTACTTGATTCGTCGAGTGTGGGAATCCTTAAGGCAGAGGGCTCCTAAAGTTGATTGGTATAAGTTAGTTTGGGGTAGTAATTGTCCCCCTCGTTTTAGCTTAATTGTGTGGTTGATTGTGAAGAATGCTATTACAACAAGGGATAAGTTACTGAAATGGGGAAGAATCAGCGCAGCTGAATGCCCTCTGTGCACAATTGGAATGGAGAACAGGGATCACATATTCACCCAATGCAGTTTTGCAAAGAAGCTTGCTGAGGAGATGGGAGGCAGGCTGCTGCAGTTTCCAGACTGGAATTCTATGATTCGCTCTCATTCTCAGGCAGGGGTGGATCCGCTTGGGGAATGGCAAGCACTTGTGTGGTGCTTGCTGATGGCATTTATTTGGAAGGAGAGGTGTCAGGTGGTATTTGGAACTCTTGCACATAATCCAAGGCAGGTTGCAAAGCTTATAAAACAAGAACTTGTATTTACCACATATGGAAATAGAGGGGCTCGTGATACATTGGTGAGGTTGGGATACTTGTGAATGTTCAGAGGGTTTTGTTTGTTCTGTTTCGTAGATGATAGTACAAAGATAGGTGTCTAGTTTATTGGCAGGTTGTTGGAGAACTCTAGGATGACTTTCCCCACCTTCGTTGTATTGGTTTTCTTGCAATACAAGGGCAACTGATTCAACGGAAAAAAAAAGCATTGATACTGGTGGAGATGATTATTCTTTTACGAGGTGCAAATAGTGTGGTTTGATTAAGTTTTCTAGAGCCGATTCCATTGCATGACTTTTGTTGTTTAGTTTGGGTAAGGACTTTTGTCCGTGTATCTATTGGCATATCGCAAAATTCAACAAGTATGGTACTTTTTTATATTTTTAATAATTGAATAATTTGAATTTTTATGGTATCAAATAAAACATGTATTATTTGGGATAATTATTGATGTTGTTTACTTAGGCTAAGGAACTTTATTAATAAATATGTTAGCACATTGGAAAATTATTACGAGTATGGTACTCTTTCATACTTCAATTAATTAAATAATTTTAAATTTTTTATGGAAAGAAATAAAAAAAATATCTTACTTAAGACAATTGCTATTGTTATGCGCATCATTGATGGAATTCATCCGCCCAACGGGCGGGCTCAAATCTAGTTGTATTATGAATGAGATTATTGATCACAAAGTTATTGACATGATCTACCTGCCAGTCTTAAGCATATTTGCACAAAAATCGGAATACATATAAAATAGATGATAACCCAATTGGGTAACAGAGTACTATATTTCATCACGACTTTTAGACCTGGCAATCGGGTCGGGTCATATTTGGTTGGCTGATTTCGGGTTAAATATTGACCCAACCCATTCGGTTTCGCGTCGGGTTACAGGTCATTTCGGGTTATGAGCGTTCTCAGAAACAATATCAAACATGCTTCATATTTTCTTAAAGAACACAAATTTTCACATATGCATGATAATAGTTTACCTAACACATGTCAATTAACATATTCTCAAATTCTCGTATGCTAATAAAATGAAATACAAATTGCGCAAATCATCCAAAAACAATCAGAAGAGTAATACTACTACAAGAAACACATGATATTTGATTATCCTTAAACTCCAAACATGTCATTCAAATCCTTGTGATTTTTTTTAAACATGTCACCGATTTATGAGTGATTTTATCATTTTGGGAGTGATATATAAAATGGAACGGGTCTAACGGGTCAACCCACTAACTCACCCAACCCGACCCAAAAAATCACGGGTTATTAGGTTCGGATCATTCGGATTTCGGGTTACCAAAATTTCTAGTTTTCAAGCGGTTTCAGATCGGGTCAACAGGTCGGGTTGTAATTTGCCAGGTCTAACGACTTTATCTACCGTCCATATATTTTATGGCCATTGGCCAGTGCTTCTGCAGAAAACCGGCAGCGACTTGTTCACGGCCAGTGCTTGCACCGCAATTGGTGGGCTTGGGAGCCACAGCTACGCGACGACCAACTCGAAGTATGCGAATCATGGGCCTGGCCCGGAACCTTGCGAGCGAGCTGGGCCTCCACGTCATCCAGGTTATCTGCGTGTCGCCTTCGGCCGTGGCGACCGGAGTAGACGGAGAAGGTGCAGAAGGAAAGCCAAGGTGGCGCGAGCAGAAGCATTCTTGAGCTCGGTTGGGAATCTGAAATGGAGGACCCTCAGGAACCACGATGTGGCGAGTGAATCATGATAATAATCGTTGCCTTTGAGCATAATCTAACCACGAAATTCACACCAGGGAAACAGTTTTGTGTTAATAGCAATCTCTGGCTGAATCAATATTGATCAAGCTGGGAAACCAACCCTTTTTTTTACCCCCTTCTTCAGTGTCAAACAGAACCAAATAACCGCAACCAACGAAAACAGAGTAACTCAATTCAATCCAGATCGACCCATTTGAGAATCGATAATCAGGAAGAGGATCCATCTTCGGGGTAATTGAAAATCCTAAACGCAGTATTGTGCACACTAAACCCACCATCCACAACCAAGCTATGCCCGCTCACATACCTCCCCTCATCACTCGCCAAAAACAGAGCAGCATTGGCCACATCCTCTGTTTTCAGCGTCACCCCTTTCAGGTTCGCCAGAGCGTTCATCGCCCCTTCCAGCTCCTCGTCCGGCAGCCCGACGAACTTCGTCGCAAGCGGCGTCGCCATCGCGTACGGCGCCAGGCAGTTCACTCGGATCCCGAACTGGCCCAGCTCCACCGCGGCGTTCCTTGTCAGCCCGAGCACGGCGTGTTTGGCGCTGCAGTAGGCGTGCGAGGCCGCACCGCCCATGGCGCAGCTGATGCTGGCCGTGGAGATGATGGCACCCGAGCGGCGCGGGATCATGACCCGGGCCGCGTGCTTCATCCCGAGGAACACGCCCGTGACGTTGACGCTCAGGACGCGGTCGAAGTCGGCCTTCTCGTTGTCGACGATGCGGGGCTTGTTCGGGTCGGCGATGCCGGCGTTGTTGAACATGATGTCGAGCTTGCCGTAGGTGGAGACGGCCTTGTCGACGGCATCCTTGACCTGGGCCTCGTCGGTGACGTCGCAGCGGACATAGGTGGAATTGGAGCGGCCCAGCGTGTCGGCGACCACGGATTGGCCGAGGTCGTCTTGAATGTCGGCGATCACGACCTTGGCGCCGTGGTGGGCGAACACTCTGGCGGTGAATTCGCCGATCCCGCTGGCACCGCCGGTGATCAGCGCTACTTTGCCTTCGAGCCTGCACTCATATCATATCAAAGAAATGAAACATTGTACTCTGGCGGACCAATCATTGTACTCTTCAATTAACCATGTGACTGAACAGTAGTAGATGTGACTGAACAGTAGTAGATGGTTCTTACTCAACAAATTAGAAATTTAGAAACCAGATTTGTTCACTTTTCTCAGATGTGCATGCAAGTGGATTGGTCCAAAAGGAGATCGCCAATTATTCTTAGAAACAGAGGGAAGGATGAAAATAGATCACTGATTGCTTAAACGTGCTTCTCCATGGCCAAGGTGAAGGAGTGGGATCAAATACAGTAGAGAACAATAGATCAGAGACTGGGGAAGGGAGAGGAAGAAGGCGAATGGATTGAAACAAACAGCAAACTAAGAGGAGGTTTACCTTTTCGCGACTGAAGAGATCAGAGAAGTTGGTGCCGCCATAGATAGAGAGAGAGAAGGTATTGCGTATTGTGTTGACTGTAAGAGGTGAAGCATATGGCAGGGACTTATTTATATTGCCAACTAGCTTATAATCCGGCCTATTGGCCGGAATGTTTTTATTTGATTATTTATATTTTTATGTTATGTTAAGTCAATCAACCGATTTAATTTTATTGACAATCCTTCGATCGAGATTATACATAAAGAAAGAATATGTAGGTCTAACATTCAGAGAAATAACATCATCATTTAAGAATATAAAATATAAAATGTATCATTAATTTCATTTTCATAATGATAATTAAGCCATCATTAAAATACTATTGGTTAGTTGATTGTCAAGAAAGAGGGTATAAAAGCTCAGTGAAATTCCACACGACCATTAGATAGTTTGAAACTAAATCACCTCACAATCCTACATAAGGGTTTAATGGGCTCCATTAATGAACAATATGTCACTAATCAAAAAGAAATGGAGAGTTGTTGATTCAAGTCAACTATATACTAACAACTCAGCTAAGAGGGGATCATCAAAACTTGAGAGCAAATGACAAAATTAGGGTTATCTTCAACATACTAATAGACTCAATCAAAGTAATAATGCACAAAATTACACACTCCTTGTCTATCAGTTCCAGTAGACTGAATAAAGAATCGACCTACTTCAATAAACCAATCAATGATTCCTCGTTTTAAGATATAAATAGGTTGTGATAGATGTAAAAATCATAAACATAAAGATCCAATAGCCACCACTCTTCATTGTACAACCAAATTTTTATCTCAAGAGACATATGTTTCAACCAAAAATTCAATTTCGAATCCTCCTTCTGCAACTCCATAATTGATTAAACTCTTTTACTTGCTCAACTTAAATCCCCAACAATAAAACCGCGTGCCAAGAGATACCGAATGATCGATTTTCAAAGGTCGCCTTGTACTGGGAAGTGAAAGGGGCGCAAACTATTGTACGATGGAGGAAATTTTCGAGGAAGTTAGAAAGAGATAAAAACAAAGATAAAAACCACAAAATTTAAATTGAAAAATGCAAAGACACAACACATAGTGACAAAATTAGTTTTTTCCATGTTAGCCAATTACCAATTTACCTTTAGCAAAAATTAAGGAGAGAGAAAGTATTTTAAAATTGAGAAAATTACATGAAACTCTACTATGAAAATTGAAGTATCAATCATCATAAGAAAACATACGCTAGTGGGCTTGCTAATCATGATGGAAAGTCCTGCGATTTTCAGAGAGTTGAACTTCGTTTATATTTTGTATTCAAAATGACACAACAAATTTGTTCAGTGTAAATGGTTGTGATTGTTGTCTTTGTTTGAAGAGACATGTGTTCAAATCCTGATGTTGATATTTTTAATGTGAGATAAATAATTAATTGTAAAGACAAAAATATCCTTCCTACCTTCACTCTCGTTGCAGGAAATTTGAAATAAAGAAAAATACACAAAAGTGTACTATATATTATTGGGGGATAGAGAGCATACTATGGATTAAAAAAAGAAATGGCTTCATCATTAGGGATCTGTCTAAGAACCTTAATTATTTTGATTGATGATCTCACACCCTTCCCTCAAAAATAACTGATCTCACACCCTAAGTTTGTTTTATATGTATATACCGATGGTTTCATCGTATTTGGTGTAAAATCAAAAGTATAACATACATTAAGTAAGAAAATTATATATATTAAATTGATCGAAGTTTGACAACAAATTACATGCACAATCTTAGGGGTTAGACTCAATTATTTAGATAACTAAAACCTAAGGTTCACCCATCAAGGGTTAAGGTATAGTATCATACCCAAAAATCCAGTTAATTCAAAATTTAGATAGAGTTTTCTGACTTAGAGTATGTCATACCCTAGATTTACCAAAGATACGATAGAAGCCACCATATATATATATAGTGTCAACTTCGGTGCACTTACTTTTTTGTGTGCATTCAACACACTCAACTCTAAAATGATCATAATACATCAAATTTTAAACTTTAATTGGTATCATTAGTCTAATATGATAATATAACATAGAATCACAACTAATCCATCCATTATTCTAACCCCTTAACCTTCAATTATGAGTTTCAACCCAAAATCCCAAATTGTAAACCCTAACCCTAAGGGGTCGGTTGCTTGGAGGATTTCGAAGAGGGATTTTGTCTCAAAATCCCATGTAGGTTGGATTATTGACCAAATCCATGTTTGGTGAGGTTGGCATAAATCCGTGGGGCTCATAAATGTGGGATATTTTTGCTCAAAATCCGTGGACCCTACGGATTATAAAATTCCATCCTATTAGTTAAGATTTTGAGAGTTGTCAAAATCCGTGTACCCACTAACTATGAATTTTCCAAATTCTAAATCATTCAAATTAAAGTAAACCTTGGATGATTTTTTTTTTGCAAATTCATATGTTTTCTTGTCGATCATACTACAAGTGACGATTGACATCGTTTTCACATGTTTTATCTGCTCAGAATGACGATTATGAGGTGAGTGCATGAATGCACCCAAAAAAGTGAGTGCATTGAATGCCCAAAATTTTGGTTAATTCGTGCTCTAAATAATAAAACTCGACGGGTGTACAATGTACGACTCACGTATGCTAGCCTGAATTATATATATTGGAATGTGCAATCCCCTGTAAATTAAAAAAAAAAAAATCTGAAACGCTCTCTCCTCTGTTTCTCGCGGATTTGAACTGCTTAGTTCCCATTGTCATTAAGTTTGTGACTCTTCAATCACCACTTTCGGCAACGCCCCTCAGTCTTTCTGACGATTTGGGTTCCTTTGGTTATGGATTCCAGCCATATATGGCCTCTAATCCTTCTTGGATTCCCCCATCTATGTTCTTTTCTGGTTGTTTTCTTCCAGATTTTCCCCCAATTTTGATCACTCTCTCCGTTGGTGACGATGTCATACGTGGTGAATATTTACAATGATGCAGCCATCTCTGCTGCTGAAAGCAATTGTCTTACTTCTTAGTCTTCTGGGTGAGTTTTTGGCCCTTCTTCCTCTGTTAGAAGTCTTCAGCACTTCCTTGTCCATGTTTGGCGATGTCAGAGTTCTTTGACCATCCTCGAGGCTCCTTTTGGTCTGCACCAATTTATCTTCTCCATCCCTTCTTATCGGAAGAAGGTTCTGGCTGCCACCCCATGGAATTAGGATCGCATCATGATCCATCTCCAAGACTGGTGTGTTCGAACGGAGGAAGTGACAACATCATTTTTCATAGTGAATTACTTGATGTTGGCGTGCATATTGGTATCAAGACAGGGGGCAGGGGCATTTTCCTACAAGCAAGTGTTCGGTTGGATGTGTCTCTTCCTTTACCCAATTCTGTTACAAGCAAGTGTTCGGTCGGTAAACGGTAAATTGGTTACCGAATTTACCGGTTTCGGTATACCGAACTGGCCAAAACTGTTTACCGTTACCGTTACCGGTTTGTAACCGGTTTACCGATTACCGAATTACCGGTAAACCGGTTACAAACCGGTTTACCGAATTACCGTAAAGCGCGACGTGGGACGGTTTTTCGGTTCGGTTTACCGAAAATTTACCGAACCGAAATTCTGTTTGTGGGGGAAGATGTTGTAATATTTTGATTTTATTAGTTTTTTTCTTCATTTTTGTAATTAATAATTTATAACATTTTTGCTATTAGAGAAGAAATCTGTAGCAGCTAATATGCAGTCCAATTCAAAGAATGGCACGTCTCTATGTCTTTCTTGTCATCTTCCCCAAACTGGCCAGAGTTCATGAACTCTTTCACTCGCTTCTCACTGTCATATAGTCTGAATGTCAGATTCTCCTCTTTCCCATCTTTGCTTCCTATCAAATTAAACAAACTAATTAACTGGCCAATCGCTTCCTGAAAAGTTCAAGAAAAGGCAAAAGAAAGAGGAACTACTTACCTATTAATCGCCGAGGGAAGGGAGACTGGGAGGCAGAGAGGGTGAGGGATTCGGGCCAGGTGGCGGAGCTGTGAGCTGGAAGCTCGTCGGTGGAAGCTCGTCGCCGTCGTCGGTGGGGAAGCGGGAAGGTGGCGTTGCGGTCAGTCAGCGAGGGAATCGCTGCTCGTCCGTGGGAATCGCTGCTGAGCGGGAAGGAGCGGCATCCGTCGTCGCTAACGTGGCCCGTGGGAAGAAGAAGTGGCCGGCGAATACGGGAAGAAGAAGTGGCCGACGAATACGAGAAGAAGAAGTGGCTCGCCTCTCTGCGATTTTCGATTGAAGAAGGAAAGTAGAAAACAGAAGGGTGGCGCCGCTAGGTTTTGTTGTTTAGGGCATATATTTGGTCCATACTTAAAACGACGTCGTTTTGATTTCGGTAAACGGTTTACCGATTTACCGTCGGTATTTACCGATACCGATTTCGGTAAACCGAAACACCCCAGCCCGTGTTCGGTCGCCGATACCGTCGGTAAACGGTTCGGTAAAACGGTAAACCGTTTACCGAAAAACCGAATCCCACCCCTACTCATGAGGATCCGAATAAGAATGTTTCAAATCCAATGTGTTGGATAGGGGTGGCAATTTGAACCTGCCAGGTATTACCCGAACTAAATCGTGATGGGGCGGGTATTACCCAACCCGTAGTAGAATGGGGCGGGGCATGGGCAGAGTATCTACTCCGACCCGCCCTACCCTGTCTTGTCTCATTCTTGACTCGTTCTATCTTAATTTCTTAACGTATCTATTCATATTTCTCTTATTTTGACTTTGTTCATCTAATTAGATTTGATCTTTCAACTAGTTAGAGTCAATAATCACTTTTCATTCGTAAAGTGTTTTTACCTTCGCTCAACTGTAAAAAGTAAAATTTTACGTGTATTTTTATCAAATATCATGTGAGAGTTTGTCAACCCGTCATGCCCCATACCGCGAGTATTACCCGCCCCGCCCCGTAGTAGCATGGGGCGAGACATGGGTATTTAGGTACCCGTCCTGCCCTGCCCCATTGCCATATACATAAGGAATTCTACGGAACCCAGGGTGAAATCGAGGGTACCGCATACCTTG